CAGCTGGATTATGAGCTGTGGGTACATGTCGCCAAGTTGCTGGAATTCCCCAATCTTGGATATCAGATACTCTATTTCCTACAAATGTCGTGAATGTCGATGGACGATTTTTCAGCCAATATAGTACTATTTCAGAATCGCTCCAAAATGTAACCTTTTCTGCATACAGCAACAATATTGGTGCAACAGTTTCCACAATTTGGCCAACAAGTGGACAGCACATAGTTCCAGTCTTGGGAGGGTTTTCGTTTGAAGTGGAGCGACTTTAGACTTTGTTGTTAACAATTTAGTAACGATTATTTTATTTTGCTCGCTCCGTATATATAAACAACAGCCGTATGCTCGCATAGAGGCATCGGCAAATCCATGTATTTGTATTTTGGACGACGGCGAAATATTTACGAAACGAGGAACTTTTACCTCTCCTAATTTTTTAAAATTTTCTTTAAATATTTGCCAAGTTGTGTCCAACGAAATGGGAATCGATTCATCCCAATCTACTTTTAGCAACCAGAGCTCTTGTAAAATAATNCCAACTTTTTAAAATTTTCTTTAAATATTTGCCAAGTTGTGTCCAACGAATAGGGAATCGATTCATCCCAATCTACTTTTAGCAACCAGAGCTCCTGTAAAATAATTTTGGCTTTTGTAATTACTGGACACAAAATACCCAATGGGTCGAATAATCGGGATGAAATTGACAATATATTGCGCTTTGTGGCTTTCACGTTTTCGAAATCTTCCACCAGATTAAATGAAAGTGTATCATTCTTTGAATGCCAGACCAAGCCCAATGTTTTTGTGGCTTCNAATTCTTTGGATGCCAGACCAAGCCCAATGTTTTTGTGGATTCCTGCTATTGAAATTAAAGGACCTTTCAACTGTTTCGTCGTTTTCGAAGTATTTATGGTTCGAATACCATTTTGCCAACTCGAAACCAGCCATTTTTAAAACTTTCACGACTTCTTCTTTTATATCTTTTAACTCCGCTAAAGTTTCAGCGCCAGATAGTAGATCATCCACATAAAAATCTTCTTGGATTACNTTTTAACTCCGCTAAAATTTCAGCGCCAGATAGATCATCCACATAAAAATCTTCTTAGATTACCCTTGAACCAGTTGGAAAAGTCGTTTTATTTAAAACGCCGATTTCTTTTAAACACCTTGTTGCCAAAAATGGTGCTGGAGACGTACCATACGTTACAGTATTTAATTTATATGTGCGTATTGGCATGGCTTGGTTTTCACGCCACAAAACGAGCTGAAATGATCGGTCTGCCTCGCTTACTTGTACCTGTCTGTACATTTTCGTAATATCAGCCGTTATAGCGTTTTTACGACAACGGACCCGAAGCAAAGTCATAAACAAATCTGGTTGAATGGCAGGACCGACCATTAATATGTCATTTAATGAAGGTTGGGAGGAAGTTTTACTGGAAGCGTCAAATACCACTCTAAGTTTAGTTGTTAGGCTGTCTGGTCTTACTATGACCTGGTGGGGTATGAAATAATGAGGGCCGGTAGGAATTACATATTTTGTGGGCGACATATGGCCAAGCGACAAATATTCCCTCATAAATTCCATATACATTTCTTGTATATTAGGAGTTCGCACTAACCGCCGCTCAAGCGCCAAAAATCGTCTTTTCGCTATTTCGTGTGACGAACCAAGTGAAGACGCGGGAACTTTGAATGACAAACGAACTTCAAACCGACCAATTTCCAATAGCTTAGTATTGGCGACAAAATGTTTTTCACAATCATTCTGCTCTTGCGCAAAATTACGGCTTTGGCTTGGGATTTCCTCTATTTCCCAGAACTTGCGCAAAAATGATTCAATGCCTGTCATTTCCATATTGCTTCGATTTATTAAATTGCACACAGCTGATTGACCGTTTTCGACATTTTTATATCTCCCAGAAACTATCCATCCAAACAACGTTTTTTGTAGTGTTGGCAAAGTACTATCCAGTTTAATTTGACCAACCGATAGCCATTCGAAAAATATGTCAGCGCCTATCAATAAATCAATCTTTTGGCTTTTATTAAAATGTGGATCTGCCAAATCAATATTATCCGGAACTTGCCATGACTCAACTGGTAAATTTATCTCAGGTTGAGAGCTTGAAATTGACTTTAGAACCCAAAAGTCGGCTTGGAACGAATAATCGTTAAGTCGTGATTGAACTGTGGCGTTTACCACATGTCTAACGCTCGAATTCACCTCACCAATGCCGAGCACACTTAAATCTTTGGACCGTCGGTTGAGTTTTAATTTATTTGCGCATTCGTCGCTTATAAAATTCACTTGAGATCCCGAATCTAATAGAGCTCTTACATGATGACTATTTCCGAAGCGATCATTAATCTTTACCAATGCAGTTGCCAAAATAACTACATCACAAGTGCTGGAAACAAGGAGCGAAGAACGATTGTTTGATTGTTGTGAAGAAGAGACAGTCGCAGCAGAATTCGAAGATTCAAGCGAATGATTACCTGACGATGCAGGTTCATATTTGTGCAAAAGTGTATTATGAGGTCGCTTACAAACACGACAATGAGGGCGAGTACAATTACGCACTGTATGCCCTTTCTTTAAACAATTAATACAGCTTCCCCCCTTCTTCACAAACTCAAACCGTTTATCAATTGGTAGAGCGGCAAAATCATTGCATGTGTAAATATAGTGGCCATTTGAACTACAATACGAGCATTTCGAATTCTTTCCAGCCTGAGTGCAAGCGAATGATGTCTTATGATCGTTTTTCTTAATTCTATTTTGATATGTGCTGGACTGGGAATTTTCAACCTTGCTGGACCTATCGTCATTGACTTCCAGCGAGTAGAATAATCTAGCTGGTCGTTCTATTTTGCTTTGGAAGCTGAATCAACTTTAGATAGCACCAAATGAATTATTAAAGCATTTGTGATATCGGTTTCACTGTCAATTGACTGTAGGGAATCATAGATTGCTGATACTGTGTCAACTGCATTTCTTCACGCTGAAGCATTTGGCTTATAGATCTTCGGAATTTCGCATAACCGCTCTATATTATCGAAAGATATGAATATCATTTTTTATCATACCTTTCCGCTAAACGGTTTAATGCCTTCGCATAGTTTTCTTCAGTAACCTGGAAAGCTTTAACTGTCCGAAGGGCATCACCTGATAAACAACTTAAAAGGTGGTTGAATTCTTCAATAGGGGAGAGAGTAGGTTCATCGTTTATCAAATTATTAAATGAGCTAATAAAATTTTTATATTCAGCATATTTACCGTCAAAGCTAGGCAACTTTAAATTAGGCAAACGCGAAGAATGAGGCATCATTGTTACACCCAGAGTGTTGTCTAAACATCGGCTTTCTCTACGCCTATAATTTCCTAAGAGTTACATTAATTTGGTTTTTGCGTTGATACACAATTCTTCTGTCTCCCCTCTTTTATCATCACCTGGATCTTCTTTTTCAATTTCTGTTTGGTAGGCTATTAAGTGTTTAATATACGAGCTGAGAATTTCTAATCGACATTCCAAGTCAATGACATTCCAGTTTGAAGAAGTGCTTTCTAACATATTCCTAATTCGCGTAATATTGCCCCAAGCTGTTGCTCTTTGTTGTTTCAAAACAGCAATCCTTGCAGGTTGCTCAGATAAACTATCACCATTTGTCGGCATTGTTGCGGTGTTTGTGTGTTTTGTTTACGATTTGATTTCAAACCGAATTACAAAATAAATGACTGAAACGCTTGCAATAATATTCTAGAAGAATTCGACCACAAATTAAACAAATGAAAATTTTTATTGCCTTAATGCAAACTTTTTAGTCCAGCAATTTTCTTCAAATTTCACCGAGGAATATGGAATTCTAATGCACTAATTTATATATCGATGATCCTTGCTAAACAATATTCAGCCCAACAAATGTAAACAAGCCGCAACAATAACAATTGCATTTAACATTTACTCACAGCAGTATTACAATTTTATTATTCCAAAAATGGTTAATAAATATACAGCAATAAGTCGTTGGAGTTATAAATGTTATAGCTTTATTTAAATACTATCATGAACAACTTCAAAGCTTTCTCTTTTTTTTGTGTTTTCTGATTAAATTATCACAATTATGTTACGTGATTGGCTACAACGAATTTGCATCACCTCAATAATAAGTGCAATTTGACACATTTGATTGTGAGCGCACTAATGAAATAAGTGGGGACGTGAAGGCAAAACAAGCAAAGACTTGCTTTATGTTAAATCAATGAAAACGATGGCAGCTTAAAATACAAGCGACAACGAATCTGCCACTGCATAACAAAGATCAAATAATTAGCAAGAGTTATCAACAATGACAGCATATGATCCGTTTGCTGATGAATTTTCCCCTCCATATCTTTTAGTTTCGTGAGAACTGTTGTGAGGGCAACTTCTTCGTCTAGTTTGATGACTTTAGCAGAAAGAGACGACGAAGCAGAAGTAGGAGACATGTTTTGATTTAGTTTATTTAGTTGCACCGCACTTGAACACAATTTTATTCAATTTAAATTTTTAATATAAAAGCACAGAATAATTTTTCAGCGATATGAAAACTAGATCTGCAAGCGTTTATTCAGACTGCGAACGTGATAAAATGATATAGTCACTTTTCTTTATTAAATAGCCAAAAGAGTAAGAGCAAGTTAATATACATCCGATCAATAGTACTTTACTTCAGTTTATTGTACAATTAAACGAAGATATAACGGAGGCAGTTTGGCGACTGTTCAGTTTGGTGGTTGTCGAGCGAGTAAAGTAAAATATTCGGTCTGTTATTAAAGCGCAGTTACCCACGGACGTAAAAACGGAGAACGGGTCAGCTGAAGCAGTGTTTGCATTATTCAACTTTGCGTTCAACAATTGCGNTCACCACCGCATGACCGTGACGTAGCCGTTGCTTCTTTCTCGTTCTGTCAACAGCAAACCTGATATGTTGCCACGTACTTCTACACTACGCTATGTACACGTTTGTGGGTAACCGCGCTTTTATCGTTCCTTAGTTTGTCTTCCGTTTCGTTGTCAGTCAGGGTTGCAATAAACAGTGTCGTTTTGGGTTGCCGTCGTGCTATTGTCCCACATATATGCATGTATATACATACATAGTATATATATGAAATAAAACGAACGAAGGAAAATACTATATAAAGGGTGAAAACACCAAAACTGCGACACTTAGAAATTACTACCAGAAACAAATTAGAAGGATTTGAAATTATGTTTTTTTGTATTATATAACTTGGAAGTTTAGATGTTATTAAAATGTTAAAATATTAGTTATTATTTGCTCCATATGCACGTGATCGGTATTTTCATCGCACACGCGCCATCATGTTCTGCACGACTGCATCATCGATTTTACGCGATGCGCACAACTACTTTGTTTTGCATTCTTCAATATTTTTCACTGTTTCACCTGTTTTCTTCAAGATTCCTTTGTCAATTGACCAATATTCCCCAATAGGACGTAGCTCTGGGCTATTGGGTGGATTGCAGTCGTGAGGTACAAAATTGATGTTACTTGCATTATACCCTGGCAATGTGTCCTTGGCACAGTGGCAGCTTGCCATGCCCGCCTAGAACAGTGGCCTACTCCTTATGTGTTGATAAATGACAGAAGACGCCTTTTGAGGCACTCATTCCGATAAACTTGATCATTCATTGTCCCGGATGGGAAAAAAGGGCTGCTCTTACGGCCACAGGAACAAATAGCTTGCCAAAACCTGCTTTTTTTTTTTTGAAATTTGGACTTCATTTTCAGCTTACAACTTTCAGGGGCATCTTGNTGTCATGGACCAATCTAACGTTTCAAATAAAGAACCGATGAGATTTTGCAAATTTTATGCGTTTTTTTTTTTAAAAAAAAGTTATCAAGCTCTTAAAAAATCACCCGTTATTTTGAATTTTTAAAGCAGTAGGCTTCGTAGTCCATAACAATGCAGTTGTATTTTTTAATTTAGAACTCATACAACTCCCGAATGCAGGATTTCGCTGTAACATTCTACTTTGCGCCTCGGTCTGGCGCTGTTTGAGCTGTAGAACATCTCAATGAAGCTTTCCGCTTTACCTTTTGTACGAAAAACTGCCGTCTCCGTACGGATTTTGCAACATAACGCGAAAAAAAACGGATCTCGCGAAAACGCACTGAGGACCTTCCGAGCACTGTTTTTATCACTTTGACCATGCTAACCGCCGCTCCCTGGTTTTCTCGTAACTGCCAGGCCTTATTTGTACCGATTAAAACCCTGCAAACTGTTGAATAGTACAATCTTTAATTTTTTAGCAATTTTACGTGTACTTAAGGCCGGATCATTTATAAACTCGTGCAAAATGGTTTGTCTCGTTTCTAACTCGGTTGCCATTTTTAACTCAACTAGGAATCAAATTCAAATGAAATTTCTTCTACGTCCAACTAAGGTCATGGTCAGCTTTGGCTCATGCTATTTGAATTTCAAAATATTGGAATCGTTTTGGGTAAGTTATAAGCTCCCAAAGTGGCGCAGTTTTGGTGTGTTCACCCTTTATAAATATAATTAAACAAATAAATAAAACTAAATTAATTTGAAGTAAATTAAATCAACTTAAACTGAATTAAATTAAAATAAACTCAAGTACACGTCAATTTAGCAGACATTCTTAATAAAAAAAAGTTTGAAATAAAAGTTTAACCAAAAATTAAAATCAACTAAAATAATTCTTATGAAACAAACATCAAAAAATCATGACCAACAAATGGCCACTATATAACATATACCAATATAAATATATAATAACACTACTAATAATAATAAACCTAGAAAAACGAAAATAGAACATTTAAGAGAAAATAGTTAAAAACATAAAACGAAATTAAACAAAAAATTATAGAAACATAGGAGGAATAGATACTAAGATTAAACTTGCCTATGATTATTTAGTTTACTCACCTGCTATTGTTTATTTTAAATATTTAAATTTAATGTTTCTTTTTTCAGTTTTTTTTTTGTTTTTTACAAATTTAGATTTTACTTCTATCAAATTAAACTTTTATATTAAGTTAGTTAAATTCGTTATTCTTATTTCGTGGTTAATTTAAATTCTATTAGGAAAATTTCTTTACTCCTTATATAACTGTAGTTTTTTCTCTAATTTTACATTTTAATTTTTTTCTTTTGTCTACATTCATTAATTTTTTATTTAATTATTATCATTATATTTTTTTTCTAAGTCCATTTAATAATTTTTTCTTTTTTCTTATTTAGTATATATATATATATATATATATATATATCAATGTAGGCCCGAAGGACTCACCCTTGTTGTTGCAGGTCTTGGTGGGGCTTGGTGTTGCTGTTGTAGCCGGTTTGTTGTTGTTGCCGTGTAGTTGGTGGCTGTTCTTTGCTGATGTGGTCGATGGGTTGACCCGGGTGCTTACCCTGTATGTTGATGTTGTTGTTGTTGTTGGGGGTGCTCCTTGGGCGGTCGCTTGTGCCACTCCTTAGGCGGTCGCTGTTTTGACCCGGGTGCTTACCCCGGTTGCTGGTTGCCGATAGGTGGTTCGCTGAGTTGCCGCTCTTTGGGGCGTTTGCAGTGGGTGCCGCTCCTTAGGCGGTCGCTGGTGACCCGGGTGCTTACCCCGGTCGCTGTCGTTGTTGTTGGTGCCGCTCCTCGGGCGGTTGCTAGTTGCCGTTCCCTCGCCGGTCGCTGTGGTGCCGCTTTGGCGGATCGCTGGTGTGCCGCCGCTCTTTTGGCGGTTGCTAGTGCCTACCCCGGTTGCTTTTGGCCGCTTCGACGTTTACTGGTGCCGCTCCTTGCCGGTCACGGAGGTGCCGCTTTAGCGGTTGCTAGTTGCCGCTCCCTGGGCGGTCGCTGTGGTGCCACTTTGGCGGTTCGCTGGTTTGCCGCTCTTTGCGCGGTCGATGCACAGTGGTCAATAAATGGAATTTAATGTTCATAATTCACTGGAGCCTTCATTTCTCAACCGATTTGATTAATTATTTTTTTAAATGAAAGCTAATAAAATTTGCAAGAGACTATTTGAGCCCAATTTTCGAATTTTTATTTGTTTGTATTAAATTTTTTAGTGCAAAGTGCAGAAATTTCGCCAATTTTGAATTCTCCTATTCCAGCTAATAAAAGTTTCATAATAAAAACTAGTTAAAAACAAGTGTAGGGTTCTCCTAATCCAAAAAAATAAATTAAAAAGTAATAACTTGAAATGTTACCAAAAGTATTTTTTTTTGTTTTTAGTTTTTATAAAAATTTTGGGTATGCAGTTTTATAGATTACTAAATTTTAGTATAATAAAGTGCAAGTTGTAAGTCGCTAAGAGTTCGCGTTGATTTTTAATTACATGTGGGATTGGAACGACGGACTAAAGGAANAAAACAAGTGTAGGGTTCTCCTAATCCAAAAAATAAATTAAAAAGTAATAACTTGAAATGTTATAAAAAAAATGTTACCAAAAGTATTTTTTTTTGTTTTTAGTTTTTATAAAAATTTTGGGTATGCAGTTTTATAGATTACTAAATTTTAGTATAATAAAGTGCAAGTTGTAAGTC